CTCCCGATGGGAAAACATGGCAGCGAGTAGTCAACATATATGGTGATGGGCAGCAGATTACCAATGCAGTTAAGGTGATTCAAGAAATGCTCTCTGTGGTGAGTTTAGCTGTATCATTCTTATATTATATATATATATATATATATATATATACACACACACACATATACAAACACAATAAGGTTTGTGATTATTAACATCAGGAACCTGTTAAAAGTAAAAATGGATGGGATCGGTTTGTTAAAGAATTTGAGTACGAAGAATCCGCTACATTCGAAGATGAAAAGCAGCAAGGTCTTGATGAAGATTCTGATGTTAAAGAAGGTGAGCATAGGGAATGTGGTCAATTAGGAAATGGAAGAACCAATTAGAACCCGAGCAACATATGATCGATGAAGGCAACATTTTATAAGGTATATAAATAAGCGACAACGCAGTAGACGATTTAGATGGTGCAAGTAAACCTATGTTTGTGTGGTGATGGTCTGGGGATGTTGGTAATTAGTCCCCATTGCAAGGAGTTCGATTACCTTCCCATGATGGCCATGCAACTGGTAACGTTAGAGTCTCGTATTAGTTAGACTTGGACTTTTCTAGTTTAATATATCTTGGAATCTTTTTTCTTTTCTTAATTTTTTTTGGAGAGTAATCTCATAGGATTCCATATATTCACATGGTATCAGAGCCAAGATCTACCATGTCCATTTGGGACATCTATGCCCAAGATTCGACACTCTCGTGGCAAATAGAGGCTAGGCTTAAGGCTCATTCCCCTAGATTGCTCGCTTGAGTATCCATTTTTCTTGGTTGTTATCATCATGGCCGAATAAGATTAGTCAAAGTGTGTGTAAGATGGTCTGGACACCCATGAGTAACCAAAAATAAAATACTTGAGACTCTGGAACGCTCGTTAATGTTCTGTCGGAAAGGACATGATAGAGTACCTCATTAACTAGATTGGATGGTTATGATTTAATATATGTCAAAACTTCTCTCTCATGAATGACTTTCTCAAAGAGTAAGCTAACATGGTTCACATATCTCACAGTACTACAGTGTTGTCATATCCTTTTTGCAGAAAATAATAAGTTCTAAGAAGTGTAACTACTAAAGTCATTGTTACTTTATTATTCTTCAGAGTTATATCAATTAGATTTGAATTATTTCTTATTTATATATGTTGGAACCTTTTTTTTTTCCTTAAGGGTTTTTTTGGAGAGTAATATAGGGGTTCCACATATTATCACATAGTATAAGAACCAGAGTCTACCGCCTTAGGGACTCGACAGTACTGTAGGACAATATATGCCCGTCTAACCTCCATTTGGAGGTGACTTACGGATTCTAAATATGATACACTCAGAAGAAACTATATTTCAATAATCAATTAAATATTATTAATATAATTTAGTACTAAAATATTAATCTATTAATTAACAATATATTAAATAATTATTGTAAAATAAACTTTATTACATAGAATACTTTTTATTTAAAAGATAATAATTAAAGAGTTATATTTATTTTGTTAAATATTAATATTTTGTTAAAAATTAATATTTTGTTTTATTTTATTGTATTTTCAAGTATTTAACTTACTGACAGGAAAATGAAAAACAATATTAATTAACGTGACAACGTTTATTAATAATTTTTTTATTAACGTTGATTATAATATATTAAGTTTGTATTTTTATTAGTTGTATCGTTATATTTTGTAAAGTTATTTTTTGTATTTTTTATCTTGAAACTTATTAATGTTAGATTTATATTTTTATTTAAAAAAAATATTATATTAATTAATGATTAAATTATAATTTATCTATGTTTATCAAAATCCAATTTGAAAAAAGTATTTTACTTATAAATAGATCCCAGAGGTGATTAACGAGGTGGTTAAAACTTTACTTTAAACTAGTTTTTGACATCGTGCGTTGCGCGATGATAATATATTTTTTTAAATTATTGAAGTTAGTTAAATGAGTCGATAATCACATTTATATATAAAACTAATAAAAATCAATATTACCTTTGATATATAAATCCACCTTATCATTATTGGTTGTTTTTATATATATATATATATATATATATATATATATATATATATATTAAGTTTTATATTTCAATCTTTTATCATATCAAACTTTGTAATTGGTTCAAAATCATAAAAAAAATATGTGAAAAAAATGATTAAAATCATGAGGTATATTATGAGAATTGTTTTATCATAATACATATCAATTTATCTCCTACATATATTATCATAAAATATTTATATTCACTAAGTAAACATTGTGTTGCTACCTACTTTAATATAATTATTGAATATTTTTGCAATTTGCTTATATTAGTTCATGATATACTCATGTAATCTTTCATGGGCCAAAAACCTTCTTGAAATCCATTTTTT